TCAGTTCTAGTTCTAGTTCAGTTCTAGTTCAGTTCTAGTTCAGTTCTAGTTCAGTTCTAGTTCAGTTCTAGTTCAGTTCTAGTTCAGTTCTAGTTCAGTTCTAGTTCAGTTCTAGTTCAGTTCTAGTTCAGTTCTAGTTCAGTTCTAGTTCAGTTTCTAGTTCAGTTCTAGTTCAGTTCTAGTTCAGTTCTAGTTCAGTTCTAGTTCAGTTCTAGTTCAGTTCTAGTTCAGTTCTAGTTCAGTTCTAGTTCAGTTCTAGTTCAGTTCTAGTTCAGTTCTAGTTCAGTTCTAGTTCAGTTCTAGTTCAGTTCTAGTTCAGTTCTAGTTCAGTTCTAGTTCAGTTCTAGTTCAGTTCTAGTTCAGTTCTAGTTCAGTTCTATTTCCGTTCTAGTTCAGTTCTAGTTCAGTTCTAGTTCAGTTCTAGTTCAGTTCTAGTTCAGTTCTAGTTCAGTTCTAGTTCAGTTCTAGTTCAGTTCTAGTTCAGTTCTAGTTCAGTTCTAGTTCAGTTCTAGTTCAGTTCTAGTTCAGTTCTAGTTCAGTTCTAGTTCAGTTCTAGTTCAGTTCTAGTTCAGTTCTAGTTCAGTTCTAGTTCAGTTCTAGTTCAGTTCTAGTTCAGTTCTAGTTCAGTTCTAGTTCAGTTCAGTTCAGTTCTAGTTCAGTTCTAGTTCAGTTCTAGTTCAGTTCTAGTTCAGTTCTAGTTCAGTTCTAGTTCAGTTCTAGTTCAGTTCTAGTTCAGTTCTAGTTCAGTTCTAGTTCAGTTCTAGTTCAGTTCTAGTTCAGTTCTAGTTCAGTTCTAGTTCAGTTCTAGTTCAGTTCTAGTTCAGTTCTAGTTCAGTTCTAGTTCAGTTCTAGTTCAGTACTAGTTCAGTTTCTAGTTCAGTTCTAGTTCAGTTCTAGTTCAGTTCTAGTTCAGTTCTAGTTCAGTTCTAGTTCAGTTCTAGTTCAGTTCTAGTTCAGTTCTAGTTCAGTTCTAGTTCAGTTCTAGTTCAGTTCTAGTTCAGTTCTAGTTCAGTTCTAGTTCAGTTCTAGTTCAGTTCTAGTTCAGTTCTAGTTCAGTTCTAGTTCAGTTCTAGTTCAGTTCTAGTTCAGTTCTAGTTCAGTTCGTTCAGTTCTAGTTCAGTTGTAGTTCAGTTGTAGTTCAGTTGTAGTTCAGTTGTAGTTCAGTTCTAGTTCAGTTCTAGTTCAGTTCTAATTCAGTTCTAGTTCCTTTATCTCTAAGGTACTTTTTGACATCTGTAGGTACTTTTTCATTTAACTTTCCAGCTCTACTAACTCTAAGTGTTTGACAATATAACAGTGTTGGAAAGAGATTGTATATGTTAAGTAAATATTTCTAAAACATTAACACTTAGAACATCACACTGTTTAAAGTGTTTAACAAAAGTGTGTGCGTGTGTTTGTAACAATCCCTGTAAGCGTCAAAGGACCTTCTGTTAATGGCGAAACCGGAAATATTGCGTTGTAATTATTTGTACGAGCTAGAAATAAAACAAAGATGTTTGAAATTTTTTTCTCTGGTTTCATTGCTTATGACTTTTTAAATTAGGTCTATTCTATTCTTTATTGGTGTTTGGCAAATAAACTTCTTTCTTGTTTTTTTTGCGTTGCCTTTTATTTTTTTGTTTTAGAGCAACAATGAACCATGTTTATAAAAAAACGTGACATCTGAACGTGATTATCTAAAAACACGTACGACCCAAAAAAATGCAAAAAATTCAAACTAAATTGTGAAATGTACTGAAGAACCCAACGTCTGTCAGCATCATCAAGAAGTATAAATAATATTAAATAAATGTTGTTATAGATAAAAGAAAATATTATTAAGATTTGCGAATTGAAAGAAATAAAAAAGACAAATACAAATACAATTCGAAGAAGATTTTAATGATATCGATTTTTTTCGTCAGAGGTATAATAGAAACAGGAAGACGTGTAATGTTTTAACAAACATTTTCAAATGACTTTTCAATATTTGAGATAATGTCAAACAAGAAATAGGCTTAATATAAAAGATTAATAGCGAATAGATTACAAATGACTGATAAAACTTGCTACTTTTGGTTAATTACGAAAAAAAGTCTCCCAAATGAAAGACAGCAGCTAAATTTTCTTTCTATTCTTTATAATTGATTTCCATTCGTTTTGCATTGATATTACTCATTAGTGTTTTTCAAATCTAGAACTGAACTAGAACTGAACTAGAACTGAACTAGGACTGAACTAGAACTGAACTAGAACTGAACTAGAACTGAACTAGAACTGAACTAGAACTGAACTAGAACTGAACTAGAACTGAACTAGAACTGAACTAGAACTGAACTAGAACTAGAACTGAACTAGAACTGAACTAGAACTGAACTAGAACTGAACTAAAACTGAACTAGAACTGAACTAGAACTGAACTAGAACTGAACTAGAACTGAACTAGAACTGAACTAGAACTGAACTAGAACTGAACTAGAACTGAACTAGAACTGAACTAGAACTGAACTAGAACTGAACTAGAACGGAACTAGAACTGAACTAGAACTGAACTAGAACTGAACTAGAACGGAACTAGAACTGAACTAGAACTGAACTAGAACTGAACTAGAACTGAACTAGAACTGAACTAGAACTGAACTAGAACTGAACTAGAACTGAACTAGAACTGAACTAGAACTGAACTAGAACTGAACTGAACTGAACTGAACTGAACCAGAACTGAACTGAACTAGAACTGAACTAGAACTGAACTTGAACTAGAACTGAACTAGAACTGAACTAGAACTGAACTAGAACTGAACTAGAACTGAACTAGAACTGAACTAGAACTAGAACTGAACTAGAACTGAACTAGAACTGAACTAGAACTGAACTAGAAACTGAACTAGAACTGAACTAGAACTGAACTAGAACTGAACTAGAACTGAACTAGAAACTGAACTAGAACTGAACTAGAAACTGAACTAGAACAACTAGAACTGACTAGAACTGAACTAGAACTGAACTAGACTGGAACTAGGAACTGAACTAGAACTGAACTAGAACTGAACTAGAAACTGAACTAGAACTGAACTAGAACTGAACTAGAACTGAACTAGAACTGAACTAGAACTCTGAACTAGAACTGAACTAGAACTGACTAGAACGAACTAGAACTGAACTAGAACTGAACTAGATAGAAGGAACTGAACTAGAACTGAACTAGAACTGAACTAGAACTGAACTAGAACTGAACTGACTAGAACTACGAGAACTGAACTAGAACTGAACTACTGAACGAAACTGAACTAGAACTAGAACGAACTAGAACTGAACTAGAACTGAACTAGAACTGAACTAGAACTGAACTAGAACTGAACTAGAACTGAACTAGAACTGAACTAGAACTGAACTAGAACTGAACTACGAACTAGAACTGAACTAGAACTAGAACTAGAACTGAACTAGAACTGAACTAGAACTGAACTAGAACTGAACTAGAACTGAACTAGAAACTGAACTAGAACTGAACTAGAACTGAACTAGAACTGAACTAGAACTGAACTAGAAACTAGAACTAGAACTGAACTAGAACTGAACTAGAAACTGACTAGACTGAACTAGAAACTGAACTAGAACTGAACTAGAACTGAAACTAGAACTGAACTAGAACTGAACTAGAACTGAACTAGAACTGAACTAGAACTGAACTAGAACTGAACTAGAACTGAACTAGAACTGAACTAGAACTGAACTAGAACTGAACTAGAACTGAACTAGAACTGAACTAGAACTGAACTAGAACTGAACTAGAACTGACTAGAACTGAACTAGAACTGAACTAGAACTGAACTAGATGAACTAGAATGAACTAGAACTGAACTAGAACTGAACTAGAACTGAACTAGAACTGAACTAGAACTGACTAGAACTGAACTAGAACTGAACTAACTGAACTAGAACTGAACAAACTGAACTAGAACTGAACTAGAACTGAACTAGAACTGAACTAGAACTGAACTAGAACTGAACTAGAACTGAACTAGAACTGAACTAGAACTGAACTAGAACTGAACTAGAACTGAACTAGAACTGAACTAGAACTGAACTAGGACTGAACTAGAACTGAACTAGAACTGAACTAGAACTGAACTAGAACTGAACTAGAACTGAACTAGAACTGAACTAGAACTGAACTAGAACTGAACTAGAACTGAACTAGAACTGAAACTAGAACTGAACTAGAACTGAACTAGAACTGAACTAGAACTGAACTAGAACTGAACTAGAACTGAACTAGAACTGAACTAGAACTGAACTAGAACTGAACTAGAAACTGAACTAGAACTGAACTAGAACTGAACTAGAACTGAACTAGAACTGAACTAGAACTGAACTACGAACTAGAACTGAACTAGAACTGAACTAGAACTGAACTAGAACTGAACTAGAACTGAACTAGAACTGAACTAGAACTGAACTAGAACTGAACTAGAACTGAACTAGAACTGAACTAGAACTGAACTAGAACTGAACTAGAACTGAACTAGAACTGAACTAGAACTGAACTAGAACTGAACTAGAACTGAACTAGAACTGAACTAGAACTGAACTAGAGAACTGAACTAGAACTGAACTAGAACTGAACTAGAACTGAACTAGAACTGAACTAGAACTGAACTAGAACAGAACTAGAACTGAACTAGAACTGAACTAGAACTGAACTAGAACCGAACTAGAACTGAACTAGAACTGAACTAGATCTGAACTAGAACTGAACTAGAACTGAACTAGAACTGAACTAGAACTGAACTAGAACTGAACTAGAACTGAACTAGAACTGAACTAGAACTGAAATAGAACTGAACTAGAACTGAATTAGAACTGAACTAGAACTGAACTAAAACTGAACTAGAACTGAACTAGAACTGGACAATTGTTAAATAAATTAGTTCAGTTCTAGTTTAGTTCTGGTTCAGATCTAGTTCAGTTATAATGTAATCTCTAGGATTGCAAAAATCTTTAAATATACTTACATTGGTCAATTGGAAATCCTGTTTTTGTAGATTGTTTTAATTACTGTTTATTTTTATTTGTTTATTTTTGTATAATTTTAATATATGTTTATAATTTTTAACTAAAATTTTTTAAGAAAAAAAAAAACAAAGGAAATTATTAACTTTTTTTATATATAAAACATAAAACAAAAGAACACATAATATTTAGGGGATAATCAAACAAAACACTTCAAATCAAAATCAATTAAATTTTTTAATGAAAACAAAAACAAACAACAGCAGTAGCTGCAGTAGCAGCAGCAACAACACAGTTTAAATTACACTGCAATTTTCCACATAACTGAGCATTAAGTACGGAATATTTATTTTCTTTTACTTGGCGATTTGTTTTTTTTTTACTTGCTTTGGCTCTTTCTCTTGAACCCTTTTTTTGCAAACAAAAACAACAAGAAAGTTTTTCAATGCTAAACTACAGCAAACAAAAGTAAAGGGAAAGAGGGCTTTTGGTTAACAACAAAAAAATGGGTGGTGGGGAGAAAAAGAGAGAAAAAAAAATTACAAATAAATAAAAGCTGTTATAGGTGTTCGTTCACTGCACTTTTTTATTGTTGTTTTTGTAATTGAAGGGCAAGAGCAGAGGAGTAGCAGTAGAAAAGAATCCTTAACTCAGGAATAGTGATACACACACACACAATTAGGCACTTTAATAAACTTTAACAAACACTCTCTCAAACAACGATAACTTTGTTTAAGAATAATATTTTTTGTTGGTTTTTTATACCTTTTTCTTTTTGATTAGATTGAAGTTTTAAAGAAAATTCTTTAAATTCTAGAAAATTTTTATTAAATTATTTGTTTTAATTTTTTTTAACACTAAGTTATTTTTTTAGAAAGAAAAATATTTCAATATTTTTTTCTTTTGCTAACAATGCGCGACGCGTCTGTTTCGTTTTACAGTCGTTTGAATTCTGACGGTCTTGTGATTACACTCAAACTAAAGCCAGAGTAAATAAATAAAATGATGGTATTAACACAACAACAATAACTACCACACAACACACAACCCTCCTCAAACTCTCACTCACTCAATCAATCAGTAAGTAGACTTGCTTGCTGGTCTGCATGCTTTGCTTGTTTCTTTTCTCATTTCGTACCATTTGTGTGATGTTTTCAAAGAGAACAATGATGTTATTGATGATGTTTGAGAGGAATGTTTTAAGATATGAAACCTAACCAATAATAAACTAAGCAAATTCTGTAAAACAGCTGTTAGTTTAGCTCATACTGTTAACCCTAACATCACGAATGTTTTACTAATGCCATGTTCAGTTTAACAGTAACTAAAAAGGTTGGCAACTAGTCATAGGTATGTTCAGTATTTCCTGTTATATTAGAAATCACAAATGGTAACATTGTTAAAACAAAAACTGTTAACTTTAAAACACAACTAAAACAAAAATCCTTTTCTGGCTAAACTAGAGGAGCTAGGGCCAAAACAAAGAAAATATGTGATCACTTATATTTCCCACAAAAAGTCGATTTTTGAGTGAAAACATAAAAGTCCATTTTCTGGCTAAACTAGAAGAGCTAGGGCCAAAACAAAACAAATCTGTGATCACTTATATTTCCTAGTAAAACTCAATTTTTGAGTGAAAACATAAAAGTCCATTTTCTGGCTAAACTAGAAGAGAAAAGAAAATCTGTGATCACTTATATTTCCTACCAAAACTCAATTTTTGAGTGAAAACATAAAAGTCCATTTTCTGGCTAAACTAGAGGAGCTAGGGCCAAAACAAAGAAAATCTGTGATCACTTATATTCCCTACCAAAACTAAATTTTTGAGTGAAAACTTAAAAGTTCATTTTCTGGCTAAACTAGAAGAGCTAGGGCCAAAACAAAGAAAATCTGTGATCACTTATATTTCCTACCAAAACTCGATTTTTGAGTGAAAAATAAAAGTCCATTTTCTGGCTAAACTAGAGGAGCTAGGGCCAAAGCAAAGAAAATCTGTGATTACTTATAATTCCTAGTAAAACTCAATTTTTGAGTGAAAACATAAAAGTCCATTTTCTGGCGAAACTAGAAGAGCTAGGGCCAAAACAAAGAAAATCTGTGATCACTCTTATTTCCTACTGAAACTCAATTTTTGAGTGAAAACATAAAAGGCCATTTTCTGGCTAAACTAGAAGAGCTAGGGCCAAAAAAATGAAAATCTGTGATCACTCTTATTTCCTACCAAAACTCAATTTTTGACTGAAAACATAAAAGTCCATTTTCTGGCTAAACTAGAAGAGCTATGGCCAAAACAAAGAAAATCTGTGATCACTCTTATTTCCTACTGAAACTCAATTTTTGAGTGAAAACATAAAAGGCCATTTTCTGGCTAAACTAGAAGAGCTAGGGCCAAAAAAATGAAAATCTGTGATCACTCTTATTTCCTACTGAAACTCAATTTTTGACTGAAAACATAAAAGTCCATTTTCTGGCTAAACTAGAAGAGCTACGGCCAAAAGAAAGAAAATCTGTGATCACTCTTATTTCCTACCAAAACTCAATTTTTTAGTGAAAACATAAAAGTCCATTTTCTGGCTAAACTAGAAGAGCTAGGGCCAAAACAATGAAAATCTGTGATCACTTATATTTCATACTAAAACTCAATTTTTGAGTGAAAACATAAAAGTCCATTTTCTGGCTAAACTAGAAGAGCTAGGGCCAAAACAATGAAAATCTGTGATCACTTATATTTCATACTAAAGCTCAATTTTTGAGTGAAAACATAAAAGTCCATTTTCTGGCTAAACTAGAAGAGCTAAGGCCAAAAGAAAGAAAATCTATGATCACTCTTATTTCCTACCAAAACTCAATTTTTTAGTGAAAACATAAAAGTCCATTTACTGGCTAAACTAGAAGAGCTAGGGCCAAAACAATGAAAATCTGTGATCACTAATATTTCCTACCAAAACTCAATTTTTGAATAAAAACATAAAAGTCCATTTTCTGGCTAAACTAGAGGAGCTAGGGCCAAACAAAGAAAATCTGCGATCACTTACATTTCCTACCAAAACTCGATTTTTGAATAAAAACATAAAAGTCCATTTTCTGGCTAAACTAGATGAGCTAGGGCCAAAACAATGAAAATCTATTTCCTAGTAAAACTAAATTTTTGAGTGAAAACATAAGGTCCATTTTCTGGCTAAACTAGAGGAGCTAGGGCCAAAGCAAAGAAAATCTGTGAATACTTACATTTCCTACCAAAACTCAATTTTTGAGTGAAAACATAAAAGTCCATTTTCTGGCTAAACTAGAAGAGCTAGGGCCAAAAGAAAGAAAATCTGTGATCACTCTTATTTCCTACCAAAACTCAATTTTCTAGTGAAAACATAAAAGTCCATTTTCTGGCTAAACTAGAGGAGCTAGGGCCAAAAATCTGTGATCACTTACATTTCCTACCAAAACTCGATTTTTGAGTGAAAACATAAAAGTCCATTTTCTGGCTAAACTAGAAGAGCTAGGGCCAAAACAATGAAAATCTGTGATCACTCTTATTTCCTACCAAAACTCAATTTTTTAGTGAAAACATAAAAGTCCATTTTCTGGCTAAACTAGAAGAGCTAGGGCCAAAACAATGAAAATCTGTGATCACTCTTATTTCCTACCAAAACTCAATTTTTTAGTGAAAACATAAAAGTCCATTTTCTGGCTAAACTAGAGGAGCTAGGGCCAAAACAAAGAAAATCTGCGATCACTTACATTTCCTACCAAAACTCGATTTTTGAATAAAAACATAAAAGTCCATTTTCTGGCTAAACTAGAGGAGCTAGGGCCAAAACAAAGAAAATCTGCGATCACTTACATTTCCTACCAAAACTCAATTTTTAATAAAAACATAAAAGTCCATTTTCTGGCTAAACTAGAGGAGCTAGGGCCAATACAAAGAAAATCTGTGATCACTTATATTTCATACTAAAACTCAATTTTTGAGTGAAATCATAAAAGTCCATTTTCTGGCTAAACTAGAAGAGCTAGGGCCAAAAGAAAGAAAATCTGTGATCACCCTTATTTCCTACCAAAACTCAATTTTTGAGTGAAAACATAAAAGTCCATTTTCTGGCTAAACTAGAGGAGCTAGGGCCAAAAGAAAGAAAATCTGTGATCACTCTTATTTACTACTAAAACTCAACTTTTGAGTGAAAACATAAAAGTCAATTTTCTGACTAAACTAGAAGAGCTAGGGCCAAAACAATGAAAATCTGTGATCACTTACATTTCCTACCAAAACTCAATTTTTGAATAAAAACATAAAAGTCCATTTTCTGGCTAAACTAGAGGAGCTAGGGCCAAAACAATGAAAATCTGTGATCACTTACATTTCCTACCAAAACTCAATTTTTGAATAAAAACATAAAAGTCCATTTTCTGGCTAAACTAGAGGAGCTAGGGCCAATACAAAGAAAATCTGTGATCACTTATATTTCCTAGTAAAACTCAATTTTTGAGTGAAATCATAAAAGTCCATTTTCTGGCTAAACTAGAAGAGCTAGGGCCAAAACAATGAAAATCTGTGATCACTTTTATTTCATACTAAAACTCAATTTTTTAGTGAAAACATAAAAGTCCATTTTCTGGCTAAACTAGAGCAGCTAGGGCCAAAACAAAGAAAATCTGTGATCACTCTTATTTCCTACCAAAACTCAAGTTTTGAATGAAAACATAAAAGTCCATTTTCTGGCTAAACTAGAGCAGCTAGGGCCAAAACAAAGAAAATCTGTGATCACTCTTATTTCCTACCAAAACTCAATTTTTGAGTGAAAACATAAAAGTTCATTTTCTGGCTAAACTAGAGGAGCTAGGGCCAAAACAAAGAAAATCTGTGATCACTTATATTTTCTACTAAAAGTCGATTTTTGAGTGAAACCATAAAAGTCCGGTTTCTGGCTAAACTAGAGGAGCTAGGGCCAAAACAAAGAAAATCTGCGATCACTTATATTTTCTACTAAAAGTCGATTTTTGAGTGAAAACATCACTCTTATTTCCTACCAAAACTCAATTTTTGAGTGAAAACATAAAAGTCCATTTTCTGGCTAAACTAGAAGAGCTAGGGCCAAAAGAAAGAAAATCTGTGATCACTCTTATTTCCTACCAAAACTCAATTTTTTAGTGAAAACATAAAAGTCCATTTTCTGGCTAAACTAGAAGAGCTAGGGCCAAAACAATGAAAATCTGTGATCACTTATATTTCATACAAAAACTCAATTTTTGAGTGAAAACATAAAAGTCCATTTTCTGGCTAAACTAGAAGAGCTAGGGCCAAAAGAAAGAAAATCTGTGATCACTCTTATTTCCTACCAAAATTCAATTTTTTAGTGAAAACATAAAAGTCCATTTTCTGGCTAAACTAGAGGAGCTAGGGCCAAAACAAAGAAAATCTGTGATCACTTACATTTCCTACCAAAACTCAATTTTTTAGTGAAAACATAAAAGTCCATTTTCTGGCTAAACTAGAGGAGCTAGGGCCAAAACAAAGAAAATCTGTGATCACTTACATTTCCTACCAAAACTCGATTTTTGAGTGAAAACATAAAAGTCCATTTTCTGGCTAAACTAGAAGAGCTAGGGCCAAAACAATGAAAATCTGTGATCACTTATATTTCATACTAAAACTCAATTTTTGAGTGAAAACATTAAAGTCCATTTTCTGGCTAAACTTGAAGAGCTAGGGCCAAAAGAAAGAAAATCTGTGATCACCCTTATTTCCTACCAAAACTCAATTTTTGAGTGAAAACATAAAAGTCCAAACTCAATTTTTTAGTGAAAACATAAAAGTCCAAACTCAATTTTTTAGTGAAAACATAAAAGTCCATTTTCTGGCTAAACTAGAAGAGCTAGGGCCAAAACAATGAAAATCTGTGATCACTTATATTTCATACTAAAACTCAATTTTTGAGTAAAAACATAAAAGTCCATTTTCT